CCGAGCCTGAAATCATGAATGAAAACAGTTGAAGAAAGTTCCATTAAGAATGTGGGAAGTAGGCCAGTGTACAGGAACCAACAGAATTGAGTGCAGAATGAGCACAAAGAAAGTGCAGGAACACGTTCAACGCAAGAATTAAGAAGGCAGAAAGAATTAACCACTGACCTGCTGTGCATTATATATTTAGGTTTAATTACTCAAGTTTGTGTTTCAGGTCATCGTGGACGATAGACTGCATGATCTTGCAAGGAACATCATTTTTTCGTGATTTCTGGTTTATATTCTTTTCTCTGTTCTGATTTATCTGTAACAGCGATGTCATGATGCGACTATGGAAGTAAATGGCGGAAATACCGGTACGATCAGCAACGACAAACGTACGGGTATCGACAGTTAACGACGTCATAACGATGGAGAGGAATGTTAGTAATACGAGAGAACATTCCAGCATTCAAATAGATCAATTATCTAATAGCTAGAAACGCTTTTCTGAAGAACCTTCCAATCACAGGCGACCTCCAGGAAGCGAAAAGAAGTAATGGACCGTGACGATAATGTTTATGCAACCTTTGTTGCTGTACTTCTGAAGCAACGAAGACGAGACAAGAGGAAGTAAGAGAAATAACACGCGTGAAACAAATAGAGAGGAAGGAAGGACTGTTGCAAAAAGGTCGAAACCAAAAGGAGCTTTCTGCTTTGTGATCGTACAGTTAAAATATCATAAGTCCAAGAAAGTGGATTAACAAAGAAAAACCCTATCTGGGATTATAGTAAACAATAAGAAAACAGTTGCAGAAAGCTCCGAGAAGGATGTAAGCGAGCACTGTGCGAGTTACCAGAACCAGGAACCAGCAGGTTGATTATGCTTGAAGTACTCATTCTAGAGATCGAGGTTCTGCACAGCAAATGGTCAGAGGAAGAGTTGAGGGTGGTCTTGACCGTTTCGGGAGGATGCCGAGAGGAAGATGGCCCTTGTATCGTTTCCTGTATTGTGAGAAGTTCGTGTGCGCGATTAGTTTTCAAGAAATGAAGAAGCAAGTGAATTCCGTGACCACCAGTATTGCAGGCCATCCATGCTCACAAAAACAGTTCTTAAAGGTATCAAAACAAAAGATATGTACTTCGAACAGAGCATGCTGCACCAGTCTAAGGCTTATCTAGATGTAAAGGCGAAATACTTAGTGCTGATGCAAGAAGCACTTGGTAAGATAAACCAGACAAAGTAGACGCGGAAGATAACATCGGAAAGCGTTGACAAACGTACACTTAGAGCCGTGAACCATACGGCGGGTGAATATGCCAGAACCCCTCCAAATTAATAACCGATATTTCTAGGCAGCTCCAGGTAGCACAGCAGTGTTATGAATACATGACAAAGCAAGAGTTATCGGGATGGAAGGCAAGCATAGAAAAGAATGTAAGCGTGTTGTATTTTTACAAAACTGTCATAGAATTTCGTCGGCTAGTGAAAAACTGGGAGAAACTGTATCTACCAACAAAGGAGTTAGGACGCGGGCTTTACTAAGTTGAACATAAAAGTGAGCTTGTGCTTTTGTAACTTCATAACGTATTTGTAGAAAGTGCGCCCTATCTACCAGGAGGGCGGCAATTTTGAAGCAGGAAAGGGCTCACAACACATACTTAGCAGCTATTGTGCCCTACCTTCAGACTAGATAGAACCTCGTAGAATACAAACGTCGAAAACGTATTAGCAGCTCAGAAAGCATTCATGTATAGCGCAGTAAAAAAAAAACTCACCATGCAAAGCTATACAAGATGGGCAAAAATGAGCTAGCCTGTGGCTAAGATTTGGAAATATTACCCCAAAAGGTGAAGTGTGATATTCTCATCTCTAAGATAGAATATGTTTGGAGCTGAGAAAAGTATGTGCCCACATTGTAGGGAACGTGTAAAGACGGTGGACCATCTAGTAACGCAGTGCGAAGAAATGTTATATGAGGACTATACTAGAAGACAGAATGAAGTCCTGCGATGTATTCATTCAGGACTTTGCAAGAAGTATGGTCTAAAAGCATTTCCACGCTTGCGGAGCACTCCATTCAGGGAATCGTCGCTAACGATAACGTTGAAACCAGAGTCGACACGTGAGTAAGAACTGCAATTAGAATCAAGCCGGATCAACCGGACATTCTGGTGTACCACAAGAAGTGATATGAGGCACTTCTGATTGAGGTTAGCACCAGTGGTCAAAACAGGCTCTTAGCAGTCGACACCGAGAAGTGGAAGTATTATTGACTGGCTGATAAATTTGGGGGAGAGATGAAATGCAGAACGAAAATAATTCTGTATTTAATGACGTGGGATGGGATAGTGACAAACTTTCACAGTCGTTCGCGAAGGAAATCAGTATATCTGATCACTTTGAGGCACATATCCAGTCGATAGCACTCATGAAAACGCTCGAAAGCATCTCATTCGATCAGCGTCGTGGATTCGACGAAGACGAAGCAGTGGGAATCAGCACAAAAGAACTGGGCGCGGGGCGAGTGCAACGAGAATGCCAAATTACGATCCAGTGCCAGAATCAATAATGAAGACAAGAATAACCTCCATGTGATATCAATTTAATTTGATATGTAAGATCAAATATTGTCATTTTTTGCTAACATTTATCTTTGAATTGTGAAAAACTAGCATCATATATCAGTTAGACTGTGGTATAGCAAAGAACTTTCGAGGAAGCATTTATATATTGGACAGCAAGAAGACATTAATTTTACTAGCATGTCCATATTTAGAATGCAGTTGAAAAGAAAATATAAAAAGAGGAACAAGTAAGTTAGGCAAAGTAATATTGAATTGAAGAAAGCATGTTCGAAAAGCGTGAGAAAGCTTGATAAGTAAATCAGAGCAACATTGTTCCGGCTTCATCAGTACCATTTCAAATTGTAGATTTATTGGTTAATAAAATGTGAGATGGGATCAGCGCTAAGGAGTGGCTACACTTGAGCTTCGTGTATTCAGGCTTCATGAAGTAGTGGTACTGGTTGTTGTATCAGTTACAGTTTTCTTTTTGTAGTACTTTGTTGTTATATGTCTAAAAAAAATTCTGATAATGGAATAAGCAAGAAGTCAGATTTCTGCATACTTTAAAAAAATAAAGATTAGACTTTTGATTGGTTACGGGTTCTAAAATTCGTCTTCAGAAGAGAAGGAAATGAGGGATTACCTTGAAATGACACCTGGTTCTAGAGGTGTCTCAACAACACGTCTTTCTTCTTCCTTAAGTAGTGTACTTTCGCTATTTGGATTCAGGCTTGTTAACAATTCACGTTTGTAGGTGACTGGTTGACCATTCTTATCAATGTAGTTACCTTGTGTGCTTGCTTCCGTACTTGCTATTGTTCCTTTAGGTAGCATCTGGAATTGACTGTGAGTAGAAATTAGAGTATGCTTTCAAAAACTATGAGACTTCACATAATGACCGAGAGCAAGCCAAAAAAACTTAGATTATGACTTTCCTTTATATGTGGCCCATTTATGGAGAAATCGAAGCAGATTTTAGTAATTAATGAGTACAAGTGGTAGCAAGACAGTATCTGGCTAATTATACATAATGAATTCAGAGTTAGTATAATTTTCATTATACAAAGGCTAATCTTGCGTGTACTACACAAGTTTAGTTTTCATTTGAACTAAGAAGTTAACCTTCTTTCTATGTTACATTTTTTATTTTGTGGGTTCTAAAAAGTTTTAAAACCAAACAATTTATCTTATATCGATTTCATTTTATTTCGAACAGAAAATATAATTGTTGAAATAAAAACTGAAGTAGAAGGACCTCCGCCATCTCACTCTGACGATTGAAATCACCACCACCTTGTGTCACAGATACAACTGAAGTATTGTATGGTGCATAAGTTTCGTGATGCGTTTTTCGCTGGTACACAGTAAAAGAATCAGCTAGCTTGGATGGTGCGACGTTGCTATCAAGAGTCGCTCTCTTATTTACCATTTGACCCGTAGAATGTTCAGACTTTATATTTTGATATTGCAAACTGCTGCTGGAAAAAAAAGCTAAGAGCTTTTGTTATTTATTTTTAAACTGCTTCAAAAATATGCAAAAAGAATTCGGTAAAATCTTATGAAATTCAAGCTTCTTACATATTCGTGGCTTACAAAAATCCCTTCGATGAACGAGTATATCAAGTATCTGCACATTTTATCTAAACGCAGTTAAAATTCATACCTTTGAGACCTCTCGCTGGATATTTGCTGATGAGGGCCTGAAGGTATTATGTGCGACAATCCAACAGGTATAGATGAGTAATTTATTTTACTGCTCTCAGCACTTGGTGTTTCATGTTCTGAAGTTTGTTCATGACCAACGGAATGAAAGGTGGGATCAGCATCAGCACCGCTATTAACATGTGGATGAGTCATATATTGAGTTTGTGAGATGAAACCATCGTAATTACTGTCATGTTTGACATCTTGTGTGTTTTGGGCATATTTTCTTTGTCTCATATAGTCATGATGATCATGCTGTTCTCTGTCTTGTTCCCTATAATTGTTACTGATACGGTTCGTCTTTGCGTTGTCATGACTTTGTCGATCAGCTACACTTTGCCATAATGTATGAGTTTCATTTGCTTTATGGTACCAAAATGGAGCCTGTTCTGGTGGTATCTGCAAGCTATTCCTTTCAAATAGCAAATAGTCTGATAACTAATATTCATAAAAATTTTTTTCACATTACCTTTAATTAAAAGCATCTGAATTTTGTAAAGCTGCGACAGTGGGCTGTTTACAGCACGTTAGCTTGTTAAATTTTCACAAAATCCTCACAGAACACAGAACGGACTTTGACTGGTGAAAAACTTGAAGGTAAAGACCTAAAGTAAGCCAAGAAGTGTATGAGTGGGGCGAATCTCATACTTGCCCTTAAGCATGACTGTCATGAAGCGTTAAGCATATTGACAGACCGTGTGAGAGTTTACGAAAGGTAAAATAAAAAGTTATGAGACCCGATGTGGATTCCAAATACAAAACGCCAGATTCGAGCTGTACAGAAGATAGTTTATAGAAGTCTGACCGGAGAACAGCCAAAATGTAAAAACTGAGGAAATCAGGAATTTTTGGGGTACGAAGTGGAACTCCGGAATGGGAAAGTATGATGATATCCAACAAAACGAATATCTGGAAGAATTTATTCCAGGTGATGAATTTCCCTCTGAAGTCGAATTTGGGAAGAGAGTCTCCTACTTGCCCAACTGGAAAGCGGTAGGGCCTAATGGAGTTTCTAACTTCTTTATTAAGAAGTGCACCTCCTTCCATCCAGACCTGTACAAAATAGTAAGAAGGATCTGCCTGAATGGGGAGGAATAGGATCCGTGGTTTTACAAAGAGTTACCTACCTAATTCCAAAAAGTGTCCCAAGTAAAGGCCACGACTTGAGGTCAATAACTTGTATATCGAACCTTTACAAGTTGACAACGAAATATGTGTGGTACGTATCACGCAGCTGGATGTTGCCATGAGAAAGCTACTTGTGTTGAAGGTAGAAATGGAATACAGAATGAAAATAATTTCATTATATATAATTCAGCAAAGTAATTAACCAACTTTTGATGAAGGTGGCATTTGTATGCGAGCATCGGTTTTTCTCGCCTTCTCTTCCCAAGTATTGCGTCGATCAGTAACGATGCGTGACCACGTTGGTTCAGTATCAAAAATCTTTAACATAAATGGTGAACTAATTTTATATGTATGTAAATTATTTTATCATTACTTCGTATCAAATAATCCGTTGTTCATTATTTTATTCATGCAAGGTCAAATAAATTGTTGGCAAATAGTACGTGAGCGCGCAATATATAAAGATTCGACCCATGAGAGTGAAAAGCAAAAAAGTTTGAATTAGTTTTGACATTTGATCTTCGAAAAAAATTTGACGATGTAAAAGGAAGGCAAGAGAACTTTCCTATTCACCAATGTTAACTACGGATGGATAAGAGAAGCGAATTTGAAATTTGTGTGAAAAATTCTTGTTTTCGTTAGGGGAGTTATGAAAGAAAGCAAAGTCAGAGAACAAGTGGTTAAATAAATTGGATACGTAAATGTTAAATGAAATACACGGCATGATTGATTCAAAAATAAATAAAAATCATTAAATAGATGAATAAATAAGCTTTCAAGAAGAATTTAAGCTAAGAGATAGATAAATGTTCGATGCATGTATATAGCAGTAGTTAAACTAAATGGAAGAGAATGAAAGTAGAAATGATAAAGAGACCTGAGAGCGCGTGAAGCGAGGATCCGACCTGTTCTTCCATTGCTTGTGCTTTTCGAGAGAACTCGAATGCCATTCGGGAGTCGTAGATCTTTTACGAGCAATAAGCGCCTTGTCATTCAGAAGTGTTTCAATTGTAATTTCCTTACCACTGTTCCATTCGTATCGTTGCAAGGGCGCAGCACTTTGTGATCGGTTCCATGGTTGCTCTAATGTCTCATATATCTGGCCCTCACCATCACGAATATGAGACTCAGTACTAAGACTCACATTTATATCGGTTGTACCGACAGACGTATGAGACGCTGTAGCTGCTACTGCATCAGGTTGCACTACATGATGACCCGTTGATTCATTTGACGCTTGCATTGATGTATGATAGGGTAGAGGAATCTTGGAGGGCACCCCACGTTTCGTACTTACATTGCTGCTTTTGTATGCAGCATGGTCTTTTTTCGCTGACAGACTGAATGTTGTTGGTTTCAATCCTTCTTCTTGACGACGGAGAGTACGATGCTGATGAGTGAAACCAGCGGGAGGTCCAAATGAAGTACCAAATGAATGATCAAAATGTTGATCCTTATTAAGGTGCTGATTAGAACGCGTATCTCCCACAAGTACATTAGTGGTTACACGGTCAACGTTCGGTGCTACTTCAATGTTCATTTCATCGTGTTTAAGCACAGAATGTTCAAATTTAGGCTGCAACCGAGGATGTTCAGGTCCATGTCCATGGTATGGGCCATCTAATCCTACTGCTCCTTTCCGGAAATCAGTACCACCCATTTCATAGCCAGGTGTTACTTTGTGTTCTTTATGTTGTTTACGCATGTGATTATATTCATAATTGGTATGCGTTGATTGTGGTATTCGAGATTTGTCTACATAGTCTAATCCACCAAATTCATAGCCTTGTCTTGGTGCTGGATGAGAGCTGAAATCAAATTTGGTACCGAAAACCTTAAATGTTAGGATTATTTTCAATGCTACATAAAGCACTCGTCAATGATTTTACAATTTGCATGAAACTAGACATTGAATTTTTAGGAATAAGTTGACATATTAATTAACTTTTCTTAAGATATGCATAACTTTCAAAGATTACTAAAGATTGTTTTAAATAATTAGTATGGAACCTTTGTTGACGAAATTTTTCAGCGCGGGGTAATGTAGAATACTGAGGCGTATAATGAGGCTGCTTTACTACCATATTCCTAACATAAGTTGCGGTCGGTGTTGCTGACCGAGCTCGTTCACTACGAATTTTCGCTGACCGAACCCAAGAAGGTTCCTCAAAAATAGCTCAGTTATAGTTCCCTTCAGAATCATCCTTGTTTTTCGAATCCACATAAGCTAAACTTATGTGGATTGGAAAAAATATTACATCTTTATCACTGATTCAATTAATTAAGGTAGAAGAACAAAAAAATTTTGGTAATTATGTAAGTAAAGTTATTTGACTTGCTTAACTATTTATATGTTTGTTTTAACGTAAAGATAATAAAACATTTCTACAAAGCTGAACCTCTGGTGGTGGAACATGTGGTATTTCTGCTTCCATAATTTGTTCCTTGAAATGTTGACCGAAATTATCTTCATTATTGGCAATGATTGCTTTTAATGTTTCTGATTTCGAAGGATCGAAATAGCGATCACTGGCACCAAGCGCATGATCAGGACCTGTGCCTACTTGCAGCTTATACTGCTCTTCCGCTGCTTCACTGAAATTTGCAGTGAAATAAAACTTATTGTAAATGAGCTAGCTTCAGCAGAGCTTTTTATCATACCTGATATTAATACAAATCTATTACTTGATTTCCAATACCAGTTAGATCTCCTTTGTACAAAACTTATTCAAGGATTATTTAAAAAATGGTCTGGGATGACAAGCAAACTTTCAGTTGTGATAGATCTTAAACAAAATTTTCTGCTGTTGAAAACAGGAGGGATAAAAAAATCTTATTAATCGTACAGAATAAACATTTACGAGTTTACTGATTTGCAAAAGTGCAAACATTTTATTTCATCGAAATATTTTTGACAGAAACTTTAAAATGAATTTATTTAATCAATTAAAGTAATAAAATCAAATTAAAAATCACTGATTGTCAAACACAGTTGTGGTTTACAAAATGGGCACTGATCTAGATTAGCTATTAAGCAATCTTCATATTTATTGAATTAACATTATATCAAGAAATGATTTTGTATGCAAATCACCAACTTTATTCGATGGAATTATGACATTTCTTATTTTATGCAAAATGGTTCTAGAAATTTTTTTTTGTTTCTAAAACACATTTTTCATGAGAGTAGAGTGTAATAAAATAATCATGATAATAATGTGCGCTAACAATCAAAATAATGCAGTGATAAAAATGACAATAAAAATTAAAAAATGATAATAAAAGTAATTTCTATATTTCTCAAATTAGAAACTTTTATTGTTTTCCATTCCTTTTTTTGAGTAAATAAGTGAATGAATGATAAAATAAGACAAATTAATATTGCTGCTTAAATTTTTACTATTCCAAAGTGTCTTTGTATAACAATTTGATTTTAGGCTTTCAACTTGCTTTCTCAGTGCATGTTTTGCAAGCTGTTGCTTACATCACTGTCAGTAAGGCTGCAAAGTTCAGTGCAAAAAATTATCTTTATTTTCTTTACTTCTTATCTAATTCACATAACTTTGATGCAAACTTTGTGAGAAGAAAGTAAAATAAAAGTTTCTTGCACACCTGTTAGGAATAATTATAAATCGTTTAAGTACTTTACTTACTAGTAGTTCGATAAATTCATCTATAAGCAAAATTAGTTAATTTATTAGTTGCTTCATGTTGAAGTAAAAAACGTATGAAGACAAACAAATACATCACCTTTTATTCATATACCCATTCACTCATGAATCAAAATATCCATTTCAAATGTTAATGCATGCAAACATCCATCTATATTCTAGATGTCTAAGCAGCTATTTGAAATGAAATATCATAAGTTTACTTTTACGATGATTTTTCAGAATAGACACTAATTTTTTTTCGAAATGCTCTAAAGGAAACAAAGGTTTCCTTACTTTGATAAGTACTGTTTCAAATACAGGAAAAAAACAAAGATATTGTATTATAATTCGAAAAAAGTAATAATTGCATCCAATATCTTTACAACATTTATCACAATGATTACTTCAAACAATTATCATTTTCTCAATTTAACAATTAAAATCATATAAAGATTTTTGAAAACTTTATCTCATGTAATAGTTAAATAAATTTCTTTTACTTACATCTAACTATTTTTTAGGCCATTAAAATTTCTTACGTGCTAATAACGACACTAAGCATGAAAATGTTATGGTTAAATTTGTATAAGTTCACCAAGCATTCGTTATTAAAATTTACATTGTTAATAGAAAAAAATTTGTCAGCTACGATTGAAACAAATTATCATTTTCTCAATTTAACAATTAGAAATAAAATATTTCATTCAACCTTCTACAGTGCTACTTAATTAATGAACTAAATTTCAATAACAATGATTTTTATCACTAAATTCAATTGAATTCAACGTTAATTAAAATGTGCAAAACTTTTCTGGATTAATTGATCACTATGCAATTTTTAAACTGTAAAATCTGTTAGCACAAAACTGAGAGGCTAAAACGTTTTATCAGGAATAAATTTGTCTATTAGATAATTACTTGCAAGACAATTATGTGATTTAGAGCATGATTAAGTTTAATTAACCACTCATGCTATTATAAATGCTAATAAAAATTATTTTAATTGTTGAACGTTAAAGAAATACTCTAGCATGCAATTGAAATGCATAGATATCTAAATAAAATAAAATTTATGAAAAATTCACATTAACATTATTATGAAAATAAAAAAATACCGGGAATAGATGGGCATTGGTGTATTGTATTGTATATTTGATGGCATAACTTGTTGAGGAAGAAATGCGGAAAATTACAGGAGCAAATTGGAGACAGTTGAGATGATACTGCTGCTGCTAATGTTGCTTCTGCTATGCTATCAAAGCAACGATGGATGAAGAAGCTTATAGGAAGTTGTTGCCTTTGCCACTGCTACTGATAATGCTATTAACTGCTGTTCCTACTACTGCTTGCTGCTTTTGCTGCTGCGACTGCTGCTGCTAGTTAGATTTTTCTTGCTAATGTCAGCATTAATGTTGACGTTAATGTTGATGTTAATGTTAATGCTGATGTGTTGCTTAGTTTCTACTTGTGATTGTGCTTGAGCATTCAAAAGTGAAAAGTTTGATGAATGAAAAAAGGATAAATTGAGCGTAATATTTGTAAATTATTATTGGTGTATGATTTGCTTCATTTCATGTTTTCACATGTTTAATATATATGTACCTACTATGTTTGCTACAAGTCTTCACCACATTATATTTTATATTTATTTATTTCTAAAGCAATCCATCGATTCATTCCTTTATCCTCAATTCTTTTTTAACTTCCACCTCCAATTCTTCTTAGTAATTATTAGTAAAACAAAAGTCATCATTATATACATTTATAAGAGTAATAAATGAAAAGCAAGTTTTTTAAACATTTCTGTGCAAAAAACAAATGAAAAACTTTTGTAAATCTATTAAAACTGAGTATCATCAAAACTGCTTGAATTTTAAAGATTTTCTCCTATTAACTGTTAATGATCTTAAAATCCGCTTGAGTGCGAGAAATCCGTCAAATGGCATTACATACAGTGAGAAATTAGCAGTCCTTTACACTGTAGTCTAAATTATATTAATACTTGGATTTTACATTTTATTTCTGTGGCAGAATTTAATTTTGTAATAAAGTTAGCACTTACATAATTGAAAACTTTATTGAAATGATTTTGCTAAAAGTGTCAGCTCAATTATAATTTGTGTAATTTTTCGAAGAAAAAAAAGAAGAAATTGCACATTGAAAGTTTGCCATATTGAAAGCAAGATTAAAAAACTGTCATATATCAAATCTCGCAGTTTGAAAAGCCTGCAAGAATTTTACTCATGGCAATTTCGATTTACTTTTATATTTCTTTTCAAAAAGGAAAAAGGATAGCACAGATTTTAGAGTGTATCATTTAACATAATTTTAAAAAAAATCAAGTTATCAGGCTTTGACCTATGAGATCGTATTTGAACCAATAAAAGTTTAAAATCAAATTACATCTCATCGAACAAAAGAAGTGCACAAGATTTCAAGTTCCCTCTGCAAATTATCTCTTCAGATTATATCTGCAGTGATACTTTATCAATCTCTAAACATATTTGCAAAAAAATCATTCAGCCAATGATTATATCTCATTCTATTTTTCACAAGCAATAAAAAAATCAGAATCTTATTTCTTGGGAAACATCATTTGCTTAAAATTTTGGAATTTGAAAAAAAATACCTAGCAATATTTTTTCATTTTTAAGGGAAGAGAAAAAAGATTGTAAAATTCTTACAAATCAGGAGCTGGAAGAAGTCAATTTTACTGTTTCACAGTTTTCCGATAATTTCTAAGCCATAAACTCATTTATAATGTTTTTTTGAATTTTTAGTTCGATAAAGTATGAACTTTAACAAATTTGATAATTAAGAACGAAAAATTCAACATTTTTTACTGAAACCAGAACAGTTGGTTCGTTTACAAACTACTTTGTGAACTAAAAATAAAAATTCTTTTTATTCAACAATTTTACAACAAAAATATAAAATTATGAAACGTTACTAGGAAGTACAACTGTGTGATATGGTAAATAATTGTTTAAATTCTGCTAGATCACGTTTTGAGAAAGGAATTTTTTCCATTGCTTTTGCATTTTGAATAACTTTTGACAAAAAGACCTTATATGTCAACAAAATTGCAAAAAATCTAAGATTTAATATAATTTTTGGTATATTGATAAATTCTGCATGTAATTAATTCATTTCAGCATATTTGAACTTAAAATTTATCAAAGAAATATATAGTTTCTATTTTTACCTTAATATACGCATTTGATGCAAGCGATTTTTGTTTTAAGATTCAATAGCGTTTGTTTGAAGAGGGTATTGTTTTACATAATCTTTTTAGCATTCGCAAATTTTATTATATCTCAAAACCGACTGACCCAAATTTATTATATTTTTTTTTAATTAATCAATATGTGTTTAAATGAAAAATGCGACATATTTATTTATTTATTTAGTTATTTATTTATTTATTAGTTGCTTGATTGGTTTACAAAAGATTCAAATTAATTTGAGTTTTGAAATGTTTATTCCTTAATTAACTGATTACTGATAAATGATAAAACTTTCAACATCATAAAGATCAAAAACTTTGTAATATTGCAATCCGAGGATTCAAAGTATCAACGTGAGCAGTCAAAACATTTCCCTTTGCTGTTATGTTTGCAAAGAAAAATTCAATTTTTGTGAGCATTTATTTTGTGATGCAATTTATTGAAAACTGCATCTAAGATCAGTTTTATTTCATTCATTCTTTGAAATCTCTAATTTTTGACACAGATTTGGGATTTTAAAGGGGGAAAAAAATACACTTTAAATTTCAGCTTTTTAAAAATTTTACGAAAAAATATTTTCATACAAAAAATTGAAGAATAAGTTAAAGATTGGTTTGAAGTTCTTCACAAATTCATTTCAGTCGAAAACTAACTAAGCAAAACATTCGAAGTGCAGCTATAATGAAAACACCGGCATGAATCACTGCAGCCATCCATGAGTTCATTGCATTTTGATGGTATAGCTCTTCTGTATTCGAAAACTTTGATAAAAAACAAAAAGCTTATTTCTAACATATTTAAAATTATATTTACAAATTCGTTCAATGACCTGTCCATACTTGCAATTTTGACAATAAATTGCAAAAATGTCTAGATATCATATTGATAAAATGTTACTTGCTTATTTCCACAAAGTTTCTAATGCATTATTATATCCCTTAATTCTTCAAAAGAAGAACCCACTTGTAACATCACTGCAGTACAACTCCAAACCTATATCGATATGAAATAAGTCGTTTTTTTGTCTACATCAATAATGCACTACGCTTGTTTTTTCTTAAAGTATTTATGTCCAAGTTTCTTTTACATTATTGTATTGAAATGTATCAACCTGACCTACCATCAGACGCCACAATAAAAAACTTACTTATTATTTTTTTTTCATCGTTCCAATTATCCGTTCTTTGATAGTCAGGTAAATCAGATAAAAGATTAACACTTTCGTTATAAAACATACTTCCAAGCACAATCTAAAAAATTTCGTCCCTTAATTAATCATTTATAAAGCTGTGAAATTTTATAGTTAATTTGATAAATGTACTGAATTTTTTTTGATATCTGGTTGCAATATTATTTAATTACAAAGTTTTTTTGGCCTATTATATATTACTGTTTAATTAGGATTTTCTGACAGTTTTTTTAAAATAAAATATATACTTCTTAGTACTGTGCTTAGAGCTTATAAATGATGAATCACATTGATGAATGACATGATGATGTCACTTTGATTAATTATATGAAAATTCAAAAGTGTTTAAAAATATGATGTAAATCAAGCAAATTTACCATAAAACAAACTCCCCAAATAGAAATCATCATAACAAATGCTGTACATTTTGGACCACAAACCATTTTATTTGAATAATTAATGTCAAATGCAAAAGCAAAATAGAAAAGGAAAAGACTTGATTGTTTGCGTAGTTTATCAGTACTGAACATTATTTACGATGAATGATAAAGAATCATTAGCGTTTTGTGAGTGTGCTTTCGTGCTGATGATTTGAACACTGCATTTGGAAAACACTTGTCTCGAATCTATGCATTTCATATAGTAACTACATACATAATATTATAATGAATCAAGTAATTCTTTGCATTTATTTAGCAAATTTACATATATAGTGAGCAGTATTGCAATAAAAGTTGATTAAACATTTCATTCATAAAACAGAATTTGCTTGCAAAATTTTGTATTTATATTTTCAACCAAATAATCAAAATATCATCAAATTGCTTTACTTCAATTTCGTTTCCCTATCATATTTATTTTGTGAAAACTATTCACGTATGAGAGTGCAGTTGACGGTTGTTTACTATTAAGGATATGCAAGAACAGGCCAATAAATTCAGATTTTATTTTCACACTTTGTAATCTTATTTTGTTATACATTATTCTCACTTCATTATTTATGAATTTATTACTTTATTAATCATGCGCATTTAAGTTAAAATTTTTTAAACTTTGAAGAATTGCAATTAAAACACTATCAAAATTTTTTATCAATAAGTAGTGTAATTAAAGCAGCCAAATTTGCAAGAACAAAATTGTTAAGCTGAGAAAACAAAAGTACTTGCATGAGAGAAATACTGCGATATTTAATTCGATTGAACGCAGAAAACAAACATTAAAATCTAAGCATTAGAAAAATTTTTTGTTTCCCGTTTTGATTATTCGATGAAATATGCATTTTATGCAAAACGGAATCGACCAGTTGTGACGTACAATTTTCTCAATGCTTGCGCATTATTATAGGAGTGTGGTATGCTGGGAGCATGTGGCACATAAACACTGCTACCATACATTAAATGTCGATTGAATGCATGATTCTAAAATAAAAATTAATAAATAATTTTTTTGATTTCAAAGATTTATCAATCTGATAGTTGAAGACTTTAATTGAAAATTATTCGAAAAGATTAAATAAAATAGTGCACTGTATTGCTTTTTTCTGTGTTACCTGTGGATTTCTCCATTCATAAGCTGTATAGGCATAATGTTGAGCGAAGTCATCAGCTTTAAGTCTTGCTGAAACGTATTTATCCAAATACTTTTGCGATCCAATGACGTATGATTTCAACGGTTCCATTTGCTAAAAATTACTAGTAATCACTTAAATAAACTTTAGCAATCCAAATAGATATAAAAAATCAAAAAAATATTGTATTAAGCAAGTAAGGGCATTATCTCTGTTAAAATTGTGATTGTGAATAGAACATTTTGTGAACAACTTATGCAAACTTCATTGAAAAATATCCGTTTTGTTTGAAAAGTGTAATAAGGCACATGAGAAACGTGAGGTAATGGACAAAAAGTTGGCGCACGAAGTGGCTTAGCCAAACTCTCGTGAGTGTCCTGAAATTTATTTATTTTTTGGACAAAAAATTCACTTTTCATTATTAAATGATGTTAATAAAAGCATAAGTAAAGTTAATCGAAAAAGAATATCTGACTTGAAAAGTTGAATTACTGTCAAGTCCAAAATTTTTATAAAAAACAAATTTCACTTCATTTGTTGAAAAATTTAACTTGATTTGAATTCGAACTCAAACAATGAATATCTGAAATAAGAAACTTACAATCCATCGCGCTTTGCTGTAAGTATTGTTATACCAATTGTGAATTCGTGGCTTATAAACTGGTGATATGTGAACGATTCGCTGCGCTTGTCGATAATGCTGTGGTAAAGCTAAAGATGGTGCAAGAGATGAAACAGATCTCGAGCGTGGAATCGGGAAATCATGTTCTGCTTCCTGAATCCTCATTCATTTTTTTCGTCAAATTTTTGGGAAAAAAGAAAAAACAATCAGTCAGTATTTTAAGAAATTATGTAATTAGAAATTAAACTTCGGAAAGGTTAGAAATAAATTTTCAAGTTTTAATTTTTTACAAAAAATTATTCAAAAAGAAACAATTATGACTATTAGGACAAAAAAAACATTTTACAAACAAGTCTAAATTTCTCTTTATCGTGCTTTAAGTTTCCGAAAAAAAAGCAAAAAAAGGTAAAAGACTTGATAAATTACTTTTATATATGTCAAATTTGTATAAGAAGCTGATCTAGCAAGTCGTTTCGGCTTACTCCAAACGTTTGACATGTAATTTTGAAATGTTGTTTCAGGACGAGCCAAATCCACATATCGCCTATAATGAAATTGATAGTGATGCTAGCAAATAATAAGAAATTGATTCTTTCAAAAATTCTTAAAGCTGAATTTGAAAAAAGAACATATCATTCTCCAGTTGTATGCCAATAAAAAGAAAAAGAAATTTTGAAAAAATTACGTCGTAGGATAATCATTCCACCATTTAGTGGCAGCTTCAATTTCATCGATAAAAGGATGTGCTTGAGAGAAGAAAATACTATCATTATTACTATTACAATGCTTCAGATAAACCATTTTAGTATGATTCAGCCGTAATATTTGGGGTGTTTACTTGATCAGATGTGGGAAATAGCTTCAGCTAAACTTTGAGTTAAATAATTGCAAAAATGAAAATACATGAAAGCAAGAGAGAATAAAAACAACAATGCTTCAGTAATCTTTCGAAATAAAAATTTAGTGCGTTAGATATAATCATTACAGTAAATAATGAAAGAACGCCAAATTTTTTTTTCATCAGCTTATTATTCACAATGTTGCTTCATCCAAATTTATCGATTTCCATCAAAAAACTAGAAATTCTAAACTTTCTTTATTCAGCAAAGTGAAAATTGTAGCATCAAAAAATACACTTCATTTATGAAAATGTTCAAAAATTATTCATCATTTCAGATCTCCATGAAAAAGACTTTATTCAAAAGTTTAGCTTAATACCTAAAGGTAGGAATATAGATGTACATTCTACATCTCTTTTTCAATTTTTTATCCAAACAAGCAATTCTTTATAAACATTTTTGCAAAAAGAGATTCTCAACCGAATCAAAGTAAGTAAATGTTGCTCACAGCGACGAACTGATGTGAAAAACGAATGTTTAGCTGAAGCTATGACATCTAAACTGATAAATTTAAGATTTTTTTACCTTTTAAGTTAAAAAACTAATTACTATAAATTACTGCACTATATGCTAGCTCATAAGCAGAAAATTGTTTTCAAAAATAAACAGAAATGGGATAATAACCACAGAGTTAATACTGTTTAGTGCTCATATTTAGTAGCTCAGTATAAACAGAAAAAACTTGCTCACTTAATAAAATAAGTTCTTAATTACTTGAGATAAATATAAATAGAATAAAACAAAAAAATATCCTTCTAATTTTTTATTTAATTTAGAATCTAAAAAATTGTGCATATTATTGTGATTGCAAATAACATTTGACAAAATTTGATTAAAATTAATGTTTCTTTTGTGGAAATCACCATTTTTCATATACAACTACAATATATATTATTTTATCACATTACAATCTCGATGCAAAAAGCTCAAATTACATTTTGAGCAAAAAGTTTCCTACAATGAATCCTCTGTAGTTGTTTAAAAAAATATCATTTTCCAGAACAATCTCAGAAATTTCTTTTTCATTCCTTTACACAGTTGCTACCGCTCGCAAAAAACATATCTGCAACTTTCGTCTTCCATTTAGTAAAAACAAAATACTAAAGTTAATTGGTTTTATGCATCCTAGAAATTAATTTAGTAAAACAATGCAGATTAACTAAAAATCCAAACAAAAATTGAAATTTCAGAATTTGGAATAAAAATTTACAAAAGGTGAAGAAGAAAATCAATATTTTAAAATGCAAATCACGGTTATATATGGACAAAAATAACTTGAAGTTATTACGAGGAAAATAGTTAAAGTATAGATTTCAAGTTGGAGTTCAAGCGGCAACAGTTGTTGGACTTTGGTTCTATCATACATATATCACACTTTCTTAACTTACCAGTCTTTCAAACTACACTCCCTTTCTTTAGAGACATTTTCTGCTAAACTTTGCTGCTAACTGAGATTCGCAAACTTGAGAAATCTATCACATAACGTTTTATAATTAGCACGTATCAGACGGCTTAGATCATTTATTAAATCTATATGAAATGAGTACGAAAGATAAATACTGCATAAAAAGTATTATTAAGGAGAGTTATCATTTAAAGCTCGTATTGATTTATGTATACTCGAAAGATAACAGTGAAGTTTTTCTTTTCTAGCAAACTAGTTTAAATCTTACTGCAATCCTCATCAATTTATTTCGTTTAAGTAGCACTCCTTCCAATTCGTTTACCCTTTATTCAAAAACACTGATTTTTTCTAGTATAAAAAATGTACTCGTAATATGAAAAATGATTAAAGAGAAACTTGTCGGCAAAGATTAAAATTTTAAATTCTAAAAATGAAACTGGATTTTTTATATGATGCCACTTCATGCAGTAAAAAGGAACTGAAGTACGCAAAATTTTACACGATAGACGACAAATGTCGATAAGTAATTTAGTCTATCACAGTTTAATTACTGATGGATACATGACCTTGTTAGCAGATTTTGGATTAAGGGTTATCATTGAATATGCAGGAAAGAGCAATGAAATGATAAAGATTTTGCTAGGGACAAAGTAAGTGAAAAGCAAGCTTGAGGAATGCAAACTTCAAACATTTTATTTTGTATAGCAAACATTGCGATTAGCTGCTTTCTGTCAGTGACATAATGATTGAAGTATGAATGAACGCATAGTGCTGCTTTAGTATGTGTAGTCGAGATGAACCCGCCACTGTATACGCGTACAACAACGAAGTACAGCCATACTGACCCGATCTTTTCTGCCAATTTCAAATCAATCCAAGTATACTTCAAGACAATGCTATCCATGGCAACAAATAAACAAAGAACACCCTTCCCTCAAAATTTAATCATAAAAGTATTTGCTGCTTCAACTAATCTTTACTAGCCTTACCAAGAAATTTCAATTTGTTCATACTTCTGAGTCTGCATTTTTTTCATACCTGCGCTTTTATGAATTCTCCATGTGCTTACAAATTTTCGCTTTCTTAATATTTTTATTTTTTACTCATCAGTATAAAGAAAAATAATTTTAATAACAAATAATTTATGTACAGATTGAAGCCGAAAAAGTCAAATAATTGATTGGTGTGGCTCTTATATGAAAAATAAGCTGCCGCAAAGAGCAAGCCATCGCATGGCACCCTAAATAAGAGGTAAACAGATAACTCAATTTCCGAGCAATTCTGCTATAAATTTATAGATAAGAGTCAGTTTAAAAATGAATCAGAATTTTTGTAGGGAAGGAACAGCCAAGAGTCAACAAAAAGAAGTGATATAATCCAACAATGCCATATCACATAGCCAAATTCTAATACACATCACAGGGCAACAATGAATCATTAATTACCCTACATTTTCATCCAATATGCTATTCAATAATCCAAATCATATTCCACTCACGAAAAAATTGCTTCAGCTCCAAAATATTTTTATCGGATCACGATAAAACCCGTGTTGAAATTTTTCATTCTGAAAATACACTAACTACAATTATCACATGTGCAAATTGTGAAATATAAGATCTGCAAATGATGCATCAACATTTTAAAAGAAATATTTCAAAACAAACAAGGTGTAAAACTAACTCAAAAATAATATCAAAGAAGCGATTTTGAATAGCAGTCGTCTCTACCTCAATCTTTACGTTTCTGCCCCAGATACAACTTCAAAAGGCAAAACATACATCTGGGATTTCATTCCAGATTTGCTGCGTTTGTTGTCCTACAAGTTTCACTACCAAATAATACTAATTAATAAATGATTCTCACGTATACAACTGATGCAATTAGAACGTACTGAAAGTCTATTTTTTACAAGAATAATGCTGTTTCCTTGCCAGTATATCTTGCATTCATCATTAGAAAACGCATCAATTAAAATATTGATTTCACAAAACAACGTCAAATCGATCATGGAACCGTAGTAAAACTAACCATAAAAAACAACGCCATATATCTCTACGTTAGCCTACTCAATTTTCAAAGTTTCACGCAAAGAAAATATTATAAAACATGGCTTATAGAAAAACAACGAATATCTAACCTTGTCATCAAGGAAAGAATGCTCTTAACTAACGTACTGTAAATCCATAATACAATTAATGTCATTTAATTATATAGACATGAAATTATATATCATAATGGGCATCATGAGAGAAATAAGCAATCTGCTTTACCTACTCAAATGACTCTCAGGGAGATGGCAGCAGCTTGCACTTCACGAAAATTTGTGATCATAAATTAGTAATGACTACCTAGACTGTAGAATAAGCTGGATTTTAAGAAGCAAAATTGATCAGAATTAAAAAGACTGTTTTCTCCCACATAGGAGAGAGAGAGGTTTTCATCCACAGAGGAGGGAGAGTTAATGCAGTGATAGTGCGAGCGTTAAATAGAGCGACACTCAGATCACACAGAGTGACGCGTAATCGCAGTGCTGCTTCAATCAAACAATAACATGTAAGCATGAGCTTTGAGAATGATGAATTTTTGCATCATAGAATTTTCTCGACTTCTCCGTTTTTTTTAAATGTCGAGTTTCACAAAAAATGAAAACATTAGATCAAGAAGTAAAGTGATGTAAGCAAAATATCGCTGAAAGCTCTAGTAATAAGTTTAAAGTACTGTTAGCCGAAGAAAACTAATTAAATTAAACTGAAGAAGAGTTAAGTAAAAATAGTAGTGAACAACGAAAAAAACTTGGGAACGTGCGTGCCTAAATTTTTTGAGGTTTTCGCGATTGTATTATATATACGTAATCATGAGCAGCAGGTCGGAGGTTAATCTTTTTTTCTGTCTTCTCGATTCGTTTCTCTCACGTCCCTTGCACCAACACTAGATATTTTTCCTTCCCATCTAGATAAACCTTAGACTCGTGTAGCGTATTTTGTAAATGGACACTTTTCGTCGAACTTCTCCATGAACCGTTTCTGTGAGAACGGACGACCTGCAATACTGGTATTCACATAATTCGCTTATTTCTTCAGTTCTTCGAGGGTAGAAGCACTCGAAAACTCACTATATAAAGAACGACACAGTGCCCAACTCCTCTCGGTTTTCTTCCCAATCTGTCAAGCTCAGCTTTCAGCGCCTCTTCTGGCCACTTGGTTCATGGGATTTCCATTCCATGGACGATTGCTTCAAATGTGATCATTCTGCACCCTTCACACAGCTTTTCTCAACCACATCTGTTTTTGCATTTTTTTCATTTATGGTTCCAGGTGCGGACTTTTTCCTTTTAACCTTCCTTTTATGTTCGTTGAACACAGCCACTTAGAGTCAACTAACGAACACCTCGGCAAGACCGAGAGTATATATGTCTTTGAGCAATGGTATATATATCAGAAAAATGATATATATATCTTTTTTCTGATATATATATCATTGCTCAAAGACAATGATATATATATATCTCAAAGACAGAAAATGACCAGTATTTATAGTCATAAACTGAACTTTTGGCTTATCCCGGAATTTTACTTCATGGGCACACATATAGCTCCTTGAGGAGCATTTACTTCGAAAATATGCTCTTTGAGCGTCCTGTAATGTTAGATATCTTGTTGATTCTGCTTTAGCTCTATTTGATGTTAATGAATTCAGTTTCTGCAGAAAATTTTGTAGTGAATTCAATTTTGTAGTGAATTCAGTTTTTATATAGTGAATTCAGTTTGTGCTGAAAATACATTCAACTTCATGGAAGGTAATTATGAAGCTAATAAATGCTTCTTAGGAAAAACAATGAGAAGTGTTTTCAAATACCAAAAAAAAATCATTATTTCAAGTGGTTGAGTGTCCATTTCCTCATTCACTTCTTATTTCAGCACTTATAATTAGTTATTCGTTATATTATGTCTGTTAATTACTCGAAATAAAATTATTTATCAATAATAATTATCCATTAAAACATTATTACACTGTACATTGTGCTATTCGCACTTGGCAGTTGTATTTTTTACATTTCCTGCTGCTTTTAATAATAGCAACATCAGTACCTCCTGGAAAATCATGACCGCTCGTTTCTTTTATTTATTAGAGATGAGCACTGTATGACACAAACTGTATCCTGAAAAACCGAAATATTTGAATACCAACTAAAAGTTGTGAATTCAAAAAAGATTTCCATGATGACTACTAAAGAAGCAATGTCAACGTACAGCAATCACTTCCGAAATTAGATATTCGGTCAATAATGATTCACAATTTTCAATCACCATTGAGTAGCACTTCGGCTGAAATATCTCATCAAGAATCAGTACCAATAATAAATTTCAATTTTCCTCTTTTACAAAATTTTAGGAAGTTCTACGATGTAAACATACTCCTTCAGAGGTGCATGTACACGTGATACATGGTCTTATGCGTTTTGTCTTTCCTAAATTAATCACTCGGTGGTCGACAACACAAAACTCTGAAAAGAAGTTTCGTCAAGCTGATATACTGTAAAAATTCAGTACTGAATTAAAAAGAGAAAGGTTTACGTCGATCAAGCCATTCATAGAAATCAACATCTGGTAATTCTGAGCATTTCATCGGAGCATTCCTAAGATTGAAATATGGATTACATCAGTATATAATAGCAATACAGAATAATAAGCCATATTTCGATACAAATCACAAAATACTGAGATTATAATTTTAAAGTACAATTAACTTGGATAGAGTTACCATCAAAATTTTTTTCTATAAAAAATTATTGCGTGTAATTTGTAAATATGCACTTGAAACAACGCACATTTAGAAACAAGCCTTATTTAGTAACTTAAAATTTGAATTAACTTTTCAATGAAAGAATTTCAAACAGACGTTAATTCATCAGGCATGAGAAATGCGTTGGGCTGAATATGATTAGCATATTGGCTATTAGAGCAAATAAGTTTGCTCAATGTGGTTTTGCGAATTTCCACTAATTGGTCTGAAAACTAGAGAATCTTTGAATTTTTATTGAAATTAATTACATCCAAGATGAAAGAATTGAATATATTGTTTGTTTTAAATAATCAAGTTATGGAAAGCATTAGATTTATAATTTTTCTGCCCTTCAGTAAAAAATAATTTGTAAAACGAACACACCTGGTGTAAATTTTGTTGTCGGATTATCATTTTCATAATAAAATCGATCGCAACGTTTTAGACGTTGAAACTGTTCTGCAATAATGCATGCAAGCATTGGTCCAACTAACGCTCCTAAAAATTTCCTTTTCGCAGATGGTAATGACTTGATGAGAAACACTTTCTTTTTTTGACACTTCTTTTGAAATCGAGATTTAGAGATTTGATCAACAATCGGTGCAAAAATAAACTTTGATAAAATGTCCTCGGTAATTTCCAGAAGATTATTAAATTTGCATAATTTAATTTACGAGGTATAGCGCATTCTTAATTATATCTAAGAAAAAAATCATGTTGGAAGTGCTTGTGTGGGATCTGACTCACAAAACAGAAATGTACTGCCAAAGTCAAAAAGCATGTCGCAGCGAAAAATGTTGCATTACATATTTACAAGTTAAAAATATACTCTAGTCTTAATGGCCTTAATGAATGCAAGTCAATGATCATCCCTTTTATTATAATATGGAATTTGCCTCTCTGAACTTGTAGAGTAGTCAGAACTTCAAAAAACAAAAATAAAAACAAAACAAAGAAAAAGAGACGGAAACTATTCACTAGAATTTTTTTTAGATACATTAAACTGATAAAAATTCAAATTATTCTCACAGTCAGAAAATAGATGCATTTCACAAAAGTGCAATTCTTTTCAATAACGCAAGGAGAAACACATTGCTCGATAGCAAAAAATGTTAATAACTCACCAACTAGTGGCTTTTCAGACATAATTCCTGGAAAGAGGTCAATATCATCTACGTGATCGTAAACACTTTTAAGTGCCACAATTGTTCCTTCATCCATAACATCTTTTAAATCATCGAAATTTCTTGCACGACGCATTCCACACATTTCTCTTCAAACTCAATTTTCATGATTTTCACTCAAATTAATTTAATGTTCGAAAAAAGAGTTTCTTTTTTAACTTTCACATATTTTTATCACTAAAATGATAAATCTCTTTGCAATTAACTCAAAGAATTTACCGATATGAATTATAAGGAGGAACGCCGTGATCTCTTGCTCTTTGGATATTGAGTGCTGGAAGATCCATGCCAGTGAATGGGCCATTTTGATGTTGGAATAAGTGATTTCGTACGGCATTGCTAATATGACGATCAAAGTCCATACTAAAATCAAATCCTAACATGAAAAAGGCAAGAAAAAATATTCACAAACCATAACATGCAATTTTAAAGCATAAATTTCATCAAATACCTCTGTGAACCGAGAAGACCCATGAGAACAGATTCAATATGCCCGCTTTCGTGAGTATAATAAAATGTTTCGTTGTTGAACGAAGCCTAAAACCCAATTTCATAGCATTGAAATAATATACATAAAAATAAGTTAGCAGTTTATTTAACTTCAAAAACCGTGGATCAAAACTGTGTACTTGCTTTGAGATCAAGACCAGATGTTTTTTCTTGATATTCCGCATTCATCCGTGGTAAGATATTTCGTATCAATGTGTGTCCAAACCGAAATGCAGCTGTGGCCATTTCTTGTGTCATTGTTGCATCGCAACGACCATCATATCCTGCAAGTGGTGAATATTTCTTATCATTAATTAATCCTCTGATAAATTGATTCAAAAACGGTGGTTAAAAACTGATAAAACTTCGATGACCTGTATAATATCCAGTTTTTCGTGGCATTAAATCATATCGTGCAACTGTTTCACACCCCAAGACAACAGGGAGCCATTCATTGAAAACAATATGTTGTACTTTAGCGCCCATTATGCGTCGCGTTTCCTGTTTTACAGTACCATTAAATGAGTAATCAAGTTTGACGTACTTAAAATCATTTATTAAAATACCAAGTAAATCTTCTCGTCTGACCAAAAATTGTTGATACGACTTAAACTTAAAGCAATCCGATTATGTTCTCGAAGAAACAGTGTATGCATGACAGTGAGCCCAGGTTGTTCATTACTGCGCTCATCACCTGCTTCAAAACATGGATGCTGCGGTGTCGATCTGAAGTATTGCAAGTCTAATCAAACTATCAGAAAATAAAATTAATTAGAAACATTCAAAAGCGAAACGCTATTCCTTTGAAATGGCTTTAAAAAGATTGACTTAGAAAGTAACTGAAAACCATTAGGAATTTTTGATTTAGAAAAAACCTGCAATCTCTTTCTTGTGGTCCTTGAGGTAAAGCTTCTCGATTGAACCCTAAGTCAGTAAAATTTAATTTGCCTTGACTGAATAAACGCAGCTTATTTGCTTCACATTCGGTTGAGCCATAAATAAAAGAAGCGTCGATGAAAGAAGTTAATTGATCCAACTTGAAATTTATAAGCATGTTGCAAAGTAGAGTTTTAAAAGAATAGGTTTAAAAATTTTTTGGCAGTTGTAAAGTTTCGGAAAACCATTCAAGTGCAATCAAAGTGAAAAAATTCTGCTAAATTTGGAAAAATTCCCGAAATGAGTGCCATTACAATAATTACATTGCAGAATTAAATTTGCTGAAAAAGAAAAGTAAATTATTTCAAACAAACCTGATTTCGATATCCAAGAGTAAGCTGTCCCAAGAGAGATCTTGTGAATGATATACATTTCGGTTCCCCATTGTTTTGTATATGAGGAAAGTATGGGTCACCACGTTCAATAGGAATGGGAAAACAGTGTACGGATACAGTTTTAGCTGAATCACAGCTGCTACAGTCAATTATCGTATTTCCAGACCCTGTTAAATAAAACCAAAAATATCATGAAAAATAATCACACTAAGGACGGCAGTGCTTTTAGTCTAAAATGCTTGCCTTCTTAAAACCTTAGCTTTATGATTTAGTGAGCAGTGATAGTTTGATATAAAATATCAATATAAATATAATGAAATAAGCAAAAATAAATTATATCCTGATGTTTGAAAATCGATACAACTTAAACTGTTCTGAACTTTAAAAAAATAACATAAAAACCTCTTGACACAGGCGAATGAGCAAAATCATGATCAATTATTTGACCCATTTGCATGAGCATATGAGTATATTTAACATGGAATGCAGGTGCCTCTGAATGGATCGCATTTGACACTGCTCGAGCAGATGGTAATTTCTTTTTTGTCCGGCTAAGAGTTCGTGGACTATCGAAACCTAGATCACAATCCATTTCACGAATTTAAAAAATTAACAAACTTCCTGTTTCTTAACATTGAGAATTTCTAATTTACCAGTGAATAAAGTTTACTAATTGCATATGATAAATAAAACTTTGCCAGAGGGATAAAAAATTTTTATCACTAAAGTTCATTTATTTCACTGTTAAATTCCGTAACTGTAAAATTTACCATCATCATAAACTGGATCCAGCAAACGACGCATTGGTGCAAATGCATTCCCATAATGAGGAAATTTCAAATTATTACACCATCCAGAAAAAGTACGATATTTGGTGGTATGATCACAAGGCAATGGTTGTGGTAGACATTCTTCTTTCGACGGCTTTTCTGTTCCAAGATAATATGAGATATTACCAACAAAACGTGAAACATCTACTTCTGGAAGCAATTTTTGCAGTGTTGCGACATCAAGCTCCAATGGTAAACGTTCATCTTCATTCAAGCCATCCCTTAAAAAATTCATGTTAATAAAACTTTATCAACAGCAAAACAGCGAAGGTTTTTGCAAAGAATGAAGTTCAAAATTGACCCTTTCAACAGAACTTTTGTCGTTTCTCGAAGAATAGCCGCACGATGTGATATTTGTAGAGATTCTTGTCGTGGTGCCATTAATTTAGAATGTATGAAAATTGCGGCATTTCTGCTTGCGTTTATATTAACTCCTGTAGTTATACCATAAGAGTAAATCTATTGAAAAAATATTTTCACTTTCCAAATTCCATTGACTTGAATTTTTAAAGTTCCATCCAAAATTGGAGAATTAGCAAAAAAAAATATTAGCTTCTCTTGAACTGGAGAAATGCCCACCAATACCTTGCTTTTTGATTCTCACTGCTTCAGCATCATTTAAACGTTTCGCATGCTCAGCTCCTAGTCGTATGGCTTTTTCTAACGTAGCTTTCGTGATCGGTAAGATCAATCTGGGCTCTTGATCTGTCCATTGTGTCAGATCAATCCTGTCAATTATTGTTGAACTGCAGTTCATTGGACAATTTCTAAACGAGATAGATAATTTGAGACGATATTGATTTAGCATTAGTTAGTTAATGTTAAATCACCACATGCAGTCAATGTAATATTTTTATATAAAATTGATACACACTTCTAATTTCTTAGAATAGAATCCATCATACCAGATATAAATTGTAAAGAAAATGACAAGTGCTTATTGTCCTCTATTCTATGTTTATGCTTTACAGCAACTTTGTTTTCACCTATAGCTGTTCATAAAACGCAAAATTTCAAAAGATAGTTAAAAACCAAATACTATGATTAATAACAATACCCATAGAAATCGGCAAGTGTGAAAACATTCTGTTGGACTTTTTGAATACCATTAGCATTATCACAAACTATTCGTGCTAATGTGGTTTTTCGTATTTCATTTAATTGCTCCAAAGAAAATGCAGATGGTGCAAAGAAATTTTCATACCAAAATCGATCACCTCTACGAGCCTTCACAAAAGATCGATCATTATTTTTTTTAAATTAAAATCTTTTGAAATAAGATGCAGAATCTTCAGCATCTTTATTCAGAGATCATTTCATGGCTGCACTTTAAATGAATTAGAATAAAAATATTAATGGAGAAGTACTTTTTCGAACTGTCGACCAATGATACATGCAAATGTAGGTCCTACTAATGCCCCAAGTTCTGGCTTCTCAGCCATTCCAAGTACGAATAAATCTACGTCATCGATATGAGTGTACAACTTGGACAGCTTGTCTACATCAAATGTATTTAATACCTAAAAGTTTATTCACACGACTTCATTCATTCCAACAAGCATGATTCTATGCTCTATTTGACACTAAATTGATTAGGATAATTAGCAATTGTTCTTCGATCAAAAAAAAGTTCAGTGATGAAAAATAAACGGTGTCTTTTAAATCACTGAAATAAATTGTTGTGTGCACTTTTACATCGGCATTTTTATCATTGTAATTTTAATCAGTACTAAGTTTAAAAAAATTTTCAAGGTCCAAATTGATTGTTTTCGATCCCTTACCACGCCTTCTAAATCAGTAAAATTGGATACAGGTGGAAGGCCACAAGCTCTCCGGAAAGCAGTATAGCCTGGAATCCCGTGGTCTCTACCCATCTGTATTATCATTGCAGCTAAATCAACACCAAAGGTGGCAGTGCCACGAAGAAACTCATTCTTAAATGGCATATTCATGTGAAGTCCAGGTTTTCGAATTGCTTCACGCAATAAAAATCTGAAAAGTTAAGTAGATTTAGAGCAATGAACATGACAGAATTATATTTCAGTTGATTAAGATCTAAATTTCAAGATGGAAGATCACAGTGTAAATAAAGTTTATGATGTAAGTCCTTGATTTGAAATTTGCATAACCCCCTGCTAATTCCATTCTTATGAAGCCGCAGACTTGTTTTATCTTAAAAAGCACGAAAAATAATATAGATCTAAATGGTTTATTACTTATAATCAGATAAAAAGCGAAAGTTAAACTCAGAATAAAAACCTTAGAATACTATCCAATTTGTCGCGATACAGCAATCCTGGATCATTAAAGACAGTACTCCACGATTTTCTTGATTTTCCGCTTCCTTCATCTGTTTCATAAAGTGTTAAAAAATCAGGGAACAGCGAGTAAAAAAATAAGCCGACAGCAGATGCGTATTCGTTTAATACAGATGCATCAGTTTTCTAAATATGCAATGAGATCACAATGTTATTATCAGTAGTTGAAAAACTTTTTAGAAATTTGCGGTTAATATTATTTATAAATAGCAAAGATAGACGGGAAAGGTAATTAAGTTCATGAAATTTTATATATAATTTGAATAATTTAAGTTTTTTTAAATAAGAAAAAAGCAAGCAGAGATACCAAATTATAATCACTGTCATAGCCATTAATTTGCAGTTTAACGCCATACTGTCTCAATTTGTTTTTGCTAAGAATAATAGGCAAAAATTCATTGTAAGTAATGTGCTGAATCTGAGCAATTACAATTCTTCGAGCTTCATGAAACAGTCTTTCATCGTCCCAGTGAGCATTTATTGCCTACAATGAAATATTTAAGTAAAATAAATCCTTTTCGACTTAACGGAAAGTAGAGATGAAAATCACGAAATATATTAGAAACAAAATACATCTTTATCTACATAATAAATTCTATATTTTGCACTACAATTATTCTTTTGTAGAACTCGTTTTTCTCAATAAAGAGTACTCGAAAAATTGTACTAACTTTTAGCTCCTTAGCTATTTTATTATGTTGACGTAACCAAAGGGTATGAATTGCAGTATGTGTTGGGATCAAATTTGTTAATTCACCACCCGCTAAGAAACATGGCTGAAGATTATTAATGTTGCCACACGTACGATCACTGGTTTTTGGCAGCAAAATGTTATCTCGAATACTTTTTTGCGTCAACAATAAACCTGTTAAAAATTTTCTAAATTAATTTATTATCTTCGCTATTTTAGCTTCACAAGATATACTGACAACTATCATTTCTATTTTATTCAAAACTATTTAAAATATTTATCTACATGTAAATACGAATAAATATAAATGTGATAGGTGAAGATCTGAACTGTTGTAAGCTATTGCTAAAATATGCATATTTAATTTTGATATTTGTTGGTTCTGCAGTGATCTGCTAAATCTTACTGATTTCACCTACTATTTATAGAGTAAACTATTTGAAATATTTGATTATTCTAAGAGTACGTATTCACATGTTTATTAGAGCAAACCATTTAGATAGATAAAACAGTTAATGAATATATTTACATGACTAAATTTAATAAGATGTTAATTATTGTGAAGCAAGAAAAGTATTTTCCAGTTGCAAAGTATACCATTTATGTACACATTCATGTGACGAGAAGAATATAAAACTGATGATCGAGTATCTATTCAAGAATGAAATTTAATTGGAATACAATATTTTCTGTAAGCTCAAACCATTTTTGTAAGCTCGAAGTTTTTTGGACCGCTCAGTAATACTACCATATATCTGACTGGCATCTAGAAAGGATGTCGCTTGGTTTGCTTGTTCCCGAGGGCCTAATGAACAAAGCTTCCGAGGAGATGTTGCTGTTCGCACATATGACAAACACTTAATTGACTCTAGACAAAGTAATGATATGAATTGTAGCAAGCTGTTGGAAAACAAACTATTTAAAAATATTTCAATGTCAAACTAGATTGAATTCTTCTAACATTATACACAGTCCTAATTTTGTTTAATTTTAAAGCGCACTTGGATAAAATGAGTCATTATTGGTTATTTCAATTGCATAGCATTCTGGATGTTTGTGCCCCTGTTCACAACATGACAGTACTTTTGCTTCATTGCCTAAAATTTTTAAAATTAGTGCTGAAAATTTAAAATTTCGATGGGTCAGAATGAAAACGAGATTTTCATAATTTTTTAATAATCCCTATGCTACTCGTTTATTTTGATAAGAGACTGAAATAATTGCAATCTATTTATTTTCAAACAAATGTGACAGCCTTCAGAATTCAAAAAAAGCTTCTAACAAACGTTTTATGCTTATTTTCCAAAAAGAATAAATGTTTAATTGTTTTCAAACAATTTAAAAAAATAGTACCTTGATAAACAGTACTAACACCTGCATGTACAAGATCTTCATAAATAAACATAGCCCACTGCGCAATCATCATTGAGCATAAATTGTGCTTATCCGTTGGTTCGGTAATTAAATCAAGGGATATGGTTCGAGCATTTGGAAGTGATGAACCATCAGTTGCAATACGAGGTTGAGTAATTTCTGTATAAAAGTATCACTGGTATTTAAAAGTAGCAACGACACTTGGTATCGATGATAATTGTAATAAAAATTATAAAAAAAAATAAAATCATTTGTGTGAAAATTGAGTTTTTGAAAAAGATTTGATTTTTTCACTTAAAAAATTAGCTATCTTCATGGTAACGTCCTCATTTTACAAGCATAATTTTTTGCAGAATATTATAAAAACGGTAATTATAAAAGTGCAATAAAATCTGAATAATATTCGTTGCATTTGATAATTCTTCGCCAGGATATGTATTTTTTGATTTATAAGCTTCACTACGGTATTTTATTCCAACAATGCAATTATTTATTAGGCAAAACCTCCTTTACCAAGGCTTAATTATTGTCGTTACTTTTTATCCTCTTACCATCTGCATATGCTGAGGGTAGTAAGCGTTGCATTGGTTGCCGTGATACTCCCCACAATGGATTATTGACATTGTTGCAGTGTCCAGAATATGTTCTGTATGTGACTGGTGGACATTCTTTGATAAAATTTACTGGACATAAACTGCTCAGCACTGTGTTTTCAAGATTTGTAGATGCTAACCCAAGCAATTTTTGATTTGATTTAGGAAGAGAACTAAATTATCATCGAATACTACACTTGTTAATTAAAGTTTTGTTTAAACTGCAAAATAATTTGTTTATAATTTTAATAATTTGTTTAATTTATAAAATAGAGTAAAATTTGCAGCTTCATAATTATGAAACGGGTGCGGTGTTTAAAAATAGCATGTTTAATATGCAAAAAAAGAGTGTTATTCAAAAATTACTTATGAATTTTTTGACTAGCAACAATAGATAATAATGATAAATATGAGAGCTCTTTAGCTTGACGGTCAATTTTGTTAATTGTATTCCATCGTATATCTGATGACTGTATATCGAGTGCTGTAATAGACGCTACAAATTATCATTAATTTTGATTTAAAATTTTTGAATATTTTAGTTATAAAAATGGTAAAAACTACAAAATTGACTTCGAATCACAAAAAAATTCTATTAAACAATCTTTGATCTTGAAAACATGACTATAAAGTAATCAGAAAATAATCCGCTTTATAATTCCTCACTTGTAAAGTACTTCAAATTTCAGTTCTGCCGTAACTTTTATAATATTCCCATAAATTCAGAGCAAATAATTCGTGAAACACTATATTTACTAGTGTTTCCTAAACAGCCAAGAAAATGTGCAACTGGAAGACAATATTCTGTGTACAGTGATTTTCTAATGTAAAAAATGTAAAAAATGATACCACCTTCATTTTCAAAAATTTCAACTTCAGTTTGATTAAACAGCCGATCGACTTCCTTTCTTGCTTCAGCTACTGCAGATATTATATTTTGGCGATTAACCACTTCATTAACAATCGGAGGACGTTTTTCTGCTGCATTTAATACTTGTGGTGTGAGTATATTTTTATCGTTATCACCTAAACACAGAACAGGATATTTCTTCCATTCCATGAATGGGTCATAAAACTTAAATTTTTCAGCTTAATTTGAAACCCAATTGCAAATTAACAAATTCAGTGCTTATAAAGTATTATTATGTTATGCAGGATTTGGTTTTTCTCTGCAAAAGTTAATCTCGTTGATTTCCATATAATCCTTTTCACCAGAAAACTTCTTTTGAGTGCTAAATTAAGCTCATGATTGGATCACATTGCCAATCTTGCATGTCTTTTCGAAAAAAATTAAGTTTTTTCGATTTGAAACATTTGGTAAATTCCAAATAGAAACTTTATATTTTGAAAAAATATTATTTGAAATCGATGGATTGTTTCTAATGTAAAGAATGTTTGTATTAAATTTTTTAATGTTATCACTAATGAATATTTGTACTAACGCAGCAAACGGAAAATGCTTATGTTTGGACAGGAAATATTGTCATCAAGATGAAGCAAACCATTCATGATTACATAGATATTATTGGTTGATAAAAACCGTCCAAAATTAAATGTAAGTTAATGGAGACAGATTAAAATAAAAACAAGGATGTATGCTTCAATCAAAACTGACTGAAAAAATAATAGTTTAATTACCGCATAATACTAACTATTAATTATCTTCTGAAAGGAAAAAAATTTAAAAAAAAGGAAAAAAAGGATATTTTACTACATTTTTCAAACAGCAAATTTTTTATTTCAACACCAGTTAAATTCACAAAAATCAGATTTGATTTATGTAGATTACCACTCATCTTCTAACGTTTTTTAATCTAAAAACCTTCAGTTTTTATTCCAATCTTGGAATGTAAATTGTTGAAATTTCTGTACATAATAAGAGAAATAAACTAACCCACTGTGTTACTCAGTAAACCAAATGCGAGTGGTGCACGTGAACATGGTGTAAAGCTAGTACCACACGGAATATTACTCCGCTGCTGACGTTTACGAATATTGTCTCTTTTAGTCACGAAAATTTCCGTGTTTAACAATAATAACAGTACAATAGATGTTAACATGATTAAAGTTCAGTTAAATGACGCTTCTAAATTGTTATAAAATTAACAAAGAAAAACATAAAAAATGCTTAAGCTACCTTTGTTACAAATTTGATCTTTTGACTTGAATTTCATTTCGTCTTACAATTTTACAAAAGACAAGCAGAAAAGACGGAATAAATTCATAAAGTCATATTGCGAGTTTCTTTGAAATATCTCCAAAATTTCGTGTCTAACCAATGAAATAAATAGCAGATTTTAATACGAAATTACTCTGCAATGAAAGTAATAGTATAATAAAATTATGTATGAACCTACTCTGAATTGGTCAACTTGGAACATATATTTTATTCGTTTAAGCAAGTATGATTAAATTTAAAATTATTTAGGGATCAAACTGGAAAACATGGAATGTAAAATGCTTGTCTAATTTATATACTTTCTGAAAACTTTAAAATTTAATCACTAATAAATCTGAAGATTCCATCAAATAAATGATAGAGATTATATGAATGAAAATTGATGATAGGTCTGAGGAATTTACCACATTAATGGCTTTTTTTTACATACAATATTTTCAAATTAATTCATATAGGCGCCAGTAAAAGTAATTAACAAACTTTCACAGTGACAACAATTAATAATAAAATAAATGACAATGACATGGAATGAGATAGAATAGATTAATTGCAGTGCAAGAAAAACGAGAAAGATTCAGAATGCTTGTTAAATTGAAGTGATAACACGAAAGGCTTCACATGTTGATTAGCGAATAGTACAGTGAAGAAGACATTGAATACCAGAAGATTAGAGGTTGAAAAGAAGGAAAAGCGTATATGAAAGTAATAGGGAATGTCTGTTACGCATCATTTGCCCATCCACTCTCTGCTCGATTATGGTATTCCCCGCAGGCTATCTTGACTTATTCTTTTTCTTCTAAATGTTAAAATTCAATATATTTCGTACTTTGTTGAAATCCCGATTCTAAGACTTGAAAATAATTTCTAAAAAAATTTTTTTTAGCAGTCATGTAGACAGATGAATAAATAAATTGATTAATTAATTAATTAAATAAATAAATA